AATCCTGGCACTTTCCTGAAGGTGTCCAAGAGTTTTCTGGTGGAGTATTTAGGGTTTTTCCATGTCAGCTACAAGTAGCGATGCTTTCACCCTGGTCCATCCCTTTTGTTTCTCCTGTCTTTGATCCAATTCTTCTAACACTATGTTGGATAAGATTGGTGATAGTGGACACCCTTGTCTTGTTTCTGATTTTGTGGGAAATGCTTTTGGTTTGCAGTATCTGTATAGGTAGTCGATCAAAAGGTAGCCCACATTGATGAGGACAGGGCTAGGGATTTGATTTAAGTTATATAAAATACAAGAAGATGAAAGACTGCATTCAAGGTTAGAATGCCTCCAAAATAGAAATGGGTGTCATTGTAGCCCAGCCACATTTTTTTTTCTAATGTTCGTGGCATTCTCGACACTGTTGTTCCATATGGGAATCCATAATAGTGGTTCTTCTCTACTTTATGGAGGAATTTTAACAACTTGGGTATAACTGATAGATGGTTGGCCATATAGTAACATGAAAGGACGCAACCCCTTTGGAACTGAGATTTCTTTCGCCCCTTTCTCAAATACAGGGAAGAAGGATTAGGAATACCAAAAGGGCAAAGACCTTGTCAGATGGAGAATGGGGCAACGTTCTGTTTTGTTGAAGGAAAGGCTCCGTGTCTGCTAAGAACAATAGTGGCTGTGAGAAGCCTGGTGCCACGCGACAACCCGGGCGATTGGGGTTTCTTTGAGGATAATTGCACAGAATGTGCTCTAAGTGGGTCAGTGAGCTCTAATCAAACATGTAGATTGGAAGAATAGTGTCGCTGTGTGTTCTGTCACATGATTGCTCAGTGCTCAGGCACCCTGCCAGAAGAGCTACACAAATTGTTCTCCGTGTGCCCTGGCTGATCTCAAAAACAAGGCAGAAGGGTTTATAGCTTATGAATTATTTTCTCTGACTATGTAAGGAAGCTGAAAATTTATGATGTAGTATGGTTTGAGTGACATCTCCTCAGTTGTGTAAGAAAAGTAGGTGATTTAGAACATTTGAACACCTGCTTAGATCCGTCAGGCTGCTGTGGGAAAGGACTGAGGAGTTACTGGGATCATGTTGAGATCATAGCACATTGTATTTTTCCAGCTACTCGTGTGTACCTTTCCGTGTTAACTAAAGCGGTATTTGGGACAGGCTGTAGATGAGGATATGCTCAACCTATGACCTCTATTAGACGTGGAGATCTGTAGGCTATCATGTTTGCTATTTACTGCAGACCTGAGTACCCAATTTACTTGATTGCTTGTATGTTACTTACGGGCAGGCCCTGGGTGCATGGAATTGGGGGTGGTTTTTATACTTCTGCTATTACGCCTTCCTTGGAAAACAAAGTAAGCTTTTCATGCTTGAGTAAACACATTGATGTATTATGAAACTGTCAGACTCTTTGAACAATTGGCATCGGCTCAGTTATTCAAATATGTGACTCTTTTCAATGGCTTTTGTGCTTGCTGATGCTTTGGTACAACTAGTAAAAAGAGATTGCCATCCCTTAAAATAAATCTCAACTGATTGTTAAAGAAATCTCAAGGATTAGCACCCATTGAGCATCGTCTTCATTATCAAATACTTCCAATTAGTAGAATCATTCGTGTAGATTCATAGTGCATTTAAGGTATATATATCTATCTATCTTAAAAACGATTCAGGCAGTACTCATGTCACCTGACCTGTGATCTGTCTCCCTCCCCCGATGTCCTCACTGTCGTCTCTTGCCTGTGTCAGTATGGCTTTTTACAGAGAACTTGGTGGGTTTTTTGTGCTTTTTTTTTTTTTTTTAAGAATTTTGTTTGCATGGTAACCCTTTTTAAGTTCAGTTGTGTTTTTAATAATAATTTTTATTATTTGCATAATACTGAATTACATAACAACTGGCTAGCCTGTATACTTATTCACAACGTGCTTTCTAGTTTTTATTTTAACATCATAATGTGGAGATGTATTTGTGCACGATGCTTGTTTTCGGTTACAGTCTGAGGAGTGGTGCCCAGAGTATATCAATAGACTTGAAAAGTTTTATCTTTTGTGTGTTGTCCACTCACTTTTCACAAGGCACTGCATCTTTGGATAATTATATAAATACCATTTTTTAAACAAATAAAAGGAGAAGACAATTGCTAAATACCAGCATCTCATAATCAATGTTTGGAGCAAACTATCGTCCTAGTATAGATGCTCTCAGTCATTTCACCATTTGGATCAGCTGGAGACAGAGGCCTCTTGCCTTCCCTGGGCTTGTGAGAACCCCAGCTCCACTGTTCCTGTAGGTGACAGGCTTCCATGTCACCAGTAGTGTGTTTGTTTTTCATCTGGACTGTGTTCCACTTCCTAGCTCTCTGTAGATGTCCATTAGTGGAAGTTGAAGACTTAACACTTTTAGTTTCTTGCCTCTCTAATATTGCCATACTGATTTTATCCATGTAGATGGATATTATGATTTTCTCTTCTTCACTTCATCCCCGTTTGCTTGTTTGGTCGTCTCCACGTGGAGAGTTGCAGATGTCTTCTTTGTGCCACATCAGCTAATCCCTGAGATGAGTTTTATTTTTTTTTTTTCAAAATTCCATCTGGGAGCCTGTATATTTGGTTTATATGTAGTTTTATTATTCTCAGAGATTGTGGTTCCGGGGCATATGGGACTTTCCCTGGGAATTTGTTTGTCTTTCTGAAATTTGTTGATTTGCTATCCTGAGTGTTATATTGTTCTTTTAAATTTACGTCCACATTTTGGTAGTTTTCTGGGGAAAGTGTGGGAAAAGCAAATTTTCCATATTCGGGTGGGAAATAATTTCTTGTCTTTTTAAGGCAGCATGCCGTTGACTTTTCCTTCAGGTTTGTATCCAGTCCAGTGTCATTCTGAATTCAAACTCCTGCTTGGGTGTTGCCCCCTTTATTTCATTCCTCTTTGGAAATTTAAAAATTCCAACTAGTTCTGTATTTACTGTAGAACCATCAGTTCAGTTAGCTCAGTATTCCTTACTTAGGTTTTTATTTTCTTTCTCTTAGTTATTTTTGCATTGCTGTGATCAGAATAACAGAACCAGGGAGGAGAGACTGACTTTGGCTTACGTCCTTAGTCCATCATAGCGGGGTAGAGAGATGCATTTATGGCAGTGTGAGTCCAAGGAGGGGCCTATTCACATCGTGATGGGCCAGTATTCAGAGGGAGTAAGGTAAAATGCTGTTCTACGCTGTTCTGGGCTGTAACCACCAAGTGATGGTGCTACACCTTTGCTAGTGAGGCCGCCACTGACTGTAGCTTCCTTAAGTCCCTGCCTCACAGCACCACCAGCTGGGAAATGAGAGTCTCAAACTTGAGGCTGTGGGATACAGTTCCGACCTAACTGTAACGTGTTTGTGTTGTCCTGATGCTGTGCCCTTGGGAACCAGAAAGTCACGTTCTGTAGTTTTCTGTGGTTTTTTGGCATGGATTATGGCTTGTGGAGTTGTTTAGTTTCTCTCTCTCTCTCTCTCTCTCTCTCTCTCTCTCTCTCTCTCTCTCTGTGGTTTTGTTTTGTTTTCCCATCTCTGAGTTATTCCAAGCTTCTTCTGAGGAAATTTGTTTATTTTATTTACCTCTCTTAGAATCTTTTGTGGAGGCTACATTATTTTTATATTTCTAAGTGTTTTTTAAATTCAAATTTTCTTGATTTGATAACATACAACTTCAGTTACCACCCTCCCCAATCCTATACTTTTTAACTGATGAAGTTTTCTTTGGTTCCGTGTATTGTTTCTTTGTGGTGTATTTATGCAAGTTTGTGTGTGTGTGTGTGTGTGTGTGTGTGTGCATTCCCACTTGGATTTTTGCATATTGTAGGCCTTTCCCCCTTAGGTATCCAGAGAATCTAGACTCCGTTTAAATTAGAGATCCAGGTTCTGGCATGGGTGAGATGAGCCTGTGCAGACACTGTGTTGGGGGTGGGGACGTCATGCCAGCTGCTCTCCAGGGTGATTGGTGTCACTTGGTCTGTGCCCATGCCTGGAGTCTTGGTTGCCCCCAGACAGGAGGGTGAGCTCTCTCTGATAGCCCTTAGCTTTTTTTTTTCCTTTTTTTTAAAATTGGTGTTGCCTTATTCTTGCCAGTTAAGCCCCCATGCTATCAATTAACTTATTGCCTGGCTGTGAAGGGCAGGAAAGAGAAGACAAGGATTTATCTGTTTCTTAAAAATGAATTTTCAGTCAGTCTTCCTTACATTAGAGGCACTTGACCTAATTTCTTTATGGCTACTTACAGCACAGCTCTTGTTTTCCCTCCCTCCCTCCCTCCCTCCCCCTCCTACTTTATGATTATTTGCCCTGCTTTTTGGCTTTAAGAATTTTGTCTTAAAGCATAACTATCTAGTTTACCTCTTGCTTTGTATGTTCCGAATCTTCATAGGCTTGTTGCATATTTTTATATTTGTGTTGATCTCTGTATATATTTTAGTATGTTGTTAAAGGGTATAGAAGAAAGATTTACATATTCATTGTATTGCAGCCGTGGGGAAACAGTATGGATATTTGATTCCTAGTTAAAATATTTTCTTACTTGCTGCACACAATGTGACATACTACATCTATAACCAGTAGAATTAATGTGTTATATTTTATATAAGCAGTAGTTTTAATTAAAATTCTTCTAAAATATATTATTCTTAGATTTTTACATGTCTATTTAATATCACAGTTTTAATATATTGACAAATATGTGACATATCTCATGAAGTTGTTCATTCATTTTTTTAAATATTTTTATTTTTAAATACTTGTAGATGGACAGAAATTTGCAAGTATTAGATGTCTCGAGAGGCACTTTGTACACAGTATGCCAATGATGTCTTCATACGATCAGTTTACTGCTCAAATTAAGAAACTGACATCGTACAGTCTTCATTAGTTCTAAAAGACAAACCAAAATGTTCTATTAGCTCAAAGAGTCGTGCAAATGTGTATGAAACTTAGGTTACACCATTTTCTCTTTCAGCAATTTTTCCAGCTAGTCAAATTACGGAAGCTTGGACTCAGTGATAATGAAATTCAGCGGCTTCCTCCAGAAATAGCAAACTTCATGCAGCTGGTGGAGCTCGATGTGTCTCGAAATGGTAAGAAGACATCCTACTTGGAATGTCCTTTTGTCTTTTTTGATGCTGGAGACATGATTCATAAAAGTGAGTGTATAAAGGTTATTGGAGATGCTTTTTCTGGTTATGGAAAAGCCATGTGCATTTTTTGCGTGGAAATTAATGAGATTTAAAGTTTATGTTTTTGAGACATCTTACTTCGTAGTTCAGGCTGCTGTTGAATTTGGAAACTTCCAACTTCACCTCCTCCAGGTACTGGGATCCCAGGCCTGACTCACTATGCTTGGCTTTAAATAGTTTGGTTAACTTCAAATATTTGCCAACACTGTTTTTGTAGCTTTTAAAAAAGTGGCTTTCGTCTTCACCTCTCTTGGCTGGAGACCGCCGTGACTTAACTTGCTCAGTTTGGTTGGGTTTGGTGTGGTTTTGTGAGACAAGGTCTCGCTTTGTAACTCTGTCTGGCCTGGTACTCACCGTGTGGCCCAGCTGGCCTTGACGTTGTGGCAGTCCTTTTGCCTCTGCCTCCCAAGTTCTAGGGCTGTAGGTGACCATGACCAGCCCTCACTCATTTTCCTGAGCCTGGCATGGAGAACTGGCCGTGAATACTTGTTTGGATACTGGTGTAGAGAAGTCATGCCCCAGACAAAGGTTAATTCTCCTGACTATAGCTGAGTACACTCCACCCCAGCCTGCTGGCATGCTGTGAGCTGTCTTCTGTTATCTTACTTAGGCTTCTGATGGTTCTGTCCTCTTGCTTTTATGCGACTTATTTGTGAGTTTATCTTGAATTTCAGGCCTTACTAGTCTGCCTTTTCCCTTTACTAAACATGAACAAGGGAGATGCAAACACAAATGGAGTCCTGTTGGAGCCCCGTCCAGCACCACTGCGGCTGTTACTGCAGCGTGGTGAGGTGGCTGCTCCCGGAGACAGGAGTCAGTCTTCCCAGGCTGGGCCCCAGCGTCGTCGGAATTAGTGATATAGAGGACAATTGCTCCATTTCTCTTGCATTACACACCTTTTGTTTTTTTGAAAAATGTAAATTGTTGTTCAGTCTCTTGTCTCCCACAGACACCACAGGCCCTGGCAACGTATCTGTAAGTGGATCTTTGTCACAGTAGTGAAGCAAACGATCCCTCCCTCCTTTGCTCGCACCTGCTCGATCCCATTGTTGGGAGTTGTCTTTGGGCTTCATTGATGCAGTGTCTTTTATTATTCACGAAAGTCAGTTCTTTCTTTGAAGGTACTGGGTGGTGGGTTTTCAGACTACTGGCTTATGCATTACAGAACAAAAGGTAGCTCAGGTAAAGCGGATTTCATGGAAGGCTGGGAGCAGAACTGACATTCCAGTAGCTACAGTAGATTGGGGTTCATAGCCTCAGTCTCACTGCTTCTTTAGTCCTCTCCCCTGGACTAGCTTGTGCTCCCGTCCCCCCATCCATCGTCCGCCTGTTAGGGTTTGTACCTGTGTATCTCTCCCTGCCTCTGTTCCTGATGTAGTATCCATTTATCCGTGGCTCCTAGCTCAGGGGGGAGGGCTTCCCCCAGCTTACCTTATGTCAGCCATCAGACAGAAGCTACAGAATGACTGCCCTGGGAGAGGAGAACAGAGGCGCTCTCTCTCTCTCTCTCTCTCTCAACAGAATTAGGAAGGAGAAATTAAAAAGGGGCCCAGAAGTACTTGATGAAAGAGGACAGTGGTTAGTTTTGTGTTTCCCGTGATGGGGATCCCTGGGGTTTGGTAGTACCTGTTGCTTCCAAGCTCACCAGCTCTCAGGAGAGCAGAGAGCTACATGCTTCTTCCATGTGTTCATTTTCAACCTTCGACATGTTGACAAACGAAGTTAAGCATGTCTGAAGCCCATGTTAGGGTGTAACGTTTCCTGTCCTGAGGATGCTCACTTTGAACTTTTGTAATTTCTCATTGCCAGCCTTGCCCTCTGCTAGTGTTGGGACCTTGTGAAGGACCCAGCAGTTTTTTCATGTTCCCTGAGACTGTTTGAGAAATGCCGAGGGCCTTAAACTGTCCTGGAAGAGTCTTGCCTTCATAAGTAACCTGCTAGTGAATGTGGTATGTTGGGGGGAGTGAGGGAGGACAGAAAAATGGGATGGGGGAATGAACCACCATCCAAGCATGGAGAATGCAGTATGGAGCATGGGTGGATTCAGGGATTTAAGGTTATACAAGCTTGCCAGAGTGACACATCAAAACAAGGTCCCTGCTTTTATGACCAACTGGAACAGGGTTTTAGGCCACTTCCAGATGGGCAGATCTCAGTGTGCTTCCTTTTCCTTCTATTTACTATTAACTTTTGGCAGATAGAACCACATCAATATAAATTTCCACGGCAACTGAGTATATAAATAAAAGTCACAAAGCCTCCAGCCTGAGAGGCAATGTGAGAGCCTACTTTGTACACTTGAAGCATTGTGAGATCTGGGGCCGTTGTCTGAGGCCTGTCTAGTCTCTGCTTCTCTGTTGCACTAATTGGAGCTGCCTGCTGCAGACAGAAACTGATTGTGTGAGTTCCCTGCGCAGCCTTTGGCTTGTCCAAGAGCCTAAACCAGGGCTGGCTGCTTCTTGATCAGGCTTTCAATGGCCTCTTCAGTTCCTGTGTTTCTAAAAATCAGTGCTTTGACCATGGAGGAGGAAGGCAAGGTGTTGATACAGCCACTGGATTACTCTGTGTTGAATCTGAACATGCAGCAGTTACCTGAAAGGTTTATTAAGTTGAATGTTCTGAAGTGGTGGGTCTGGAGTTGACCTTGAGGTTGGGCCTTGGTTCCCAGGAGCTGCGAATCCTGCCAGTCCATGAGACAGTAGCAGATTTTTGAAGTTACCACTCAGACTTGCTGCAGACATCGTTCAGAAGTTCCATGTGATTATGAGCCTAATTTCTCTCTGCCACCGACAACCCTGCATCTCTGTGTGTAATGTGGGAATATCCAGGATGTTCCTGGCTCAGGACAGTATGCTAGAGCTGACTTAAGCTCACGTTTATTTGGATTCTCTTTCCTTGCTTACATGAAAGATAAGAGAGTTTTGTGTTTCTCTTCAAGGAAGTCTATAAATCGGATTTTTCAAAGGACTGTTTCCTGGGCCAAGGAGAACTGTCTGGACCTCCAAACCTTTTGTGTCTTTGTTTTCTGATATTTCAGGCACAAAGTCAAGGGAGATATGGGCTTGTACTGAAGAGTGAGCTCACAAGGCAAGGGCAGCTCTTGTGGGTATTCTAGGGGTGAGGGCTTGCTTGTTTGTTTGGGTGGGGTATGGAATCGAGGCTGCTCCAGAATTTCTTGCTGGGGACCTTGGGCCAGAGTGCTGGGTCTGTCATCAGTGTCGGATTAGCTTTGGATTGGCTCTTAGCTCTGCTGGGCTGTGTCCTGTGAAAGGGTGGAATGAGGCCCTACTTCTTGTGTGATACAAATGAGCACCAAGTTTCATGTTAAACATGCAGGAACCAAAATATATTGAGAGAAAAAGATACTTTGTGTTTTTCTTGAATGTAGATTAAAGGATGACTGGAATAGAGTACATGGAATTGATATCTGGATGTGGTGTTAAAATCATATATAGAACTGGACAGACGTCCAGTTGAAGTATGAGGCGTTTTCTGTGGTGCAGTGCCTTTAGCTCGATGCTGGAACTCTATGTCTGTTTCTCGTGTCCAACTTTTCGTAGCTATCCTAGGGAAATGGCCTCTCATATAAGGAAAGATACTGACCCATAACATGAACTGCTACCCAAGGATCCATGGGAGACTTTCCTAATGTATCATTTTTCGGCCCCAGTGTTAATAGATTGAGTTTTATAGTTGATAGTGTAATTTGAGTTAAGTCCTTGAACCTTGTCATTTCCCTTTTAGTTTAGTTTTCCCCGAAGTATAAGGCCTAGACCACTGGCACTAGTAGAGGCCATTGTTGGTGTGTAACACTTAACGTTGAATCATGGTGGGAACATGATCCATTTTCCAGTTTTATCCATGTGTCACTGTTTAGGAGATCTTATAACACTACGTACAATATGCATTTCTGATGTTGAAAGTAGCTTTGTACTAGTGATTTACAAATCAACAACACTTCGCTGTTTTGAAAAATAAATATTGAGATTAAAAGGGCAATTTAAAAGAGTAATAAAGAATATGGGAGTATTACAGTAATGAAGATGGGGTGGGGATGGCTGGGTGGAGGGGTGCTGGTTAGTATTAGCACACTGAGCCAAAGTAGGCTGAGGCTTATTTTGCTCATAAGAAAAATCCTGACTTGTGACTGGCTGACCAGCAAACAGGAGCTACCAGGAACTTAGGTGTAGGGTCTTTCCAGTGTATGTGCCATGGGTGCCCCGCAGGGAGCGCAGAGCCCATCCTCTCACTGAGCTTTGACTTGGTTTAATGCGTAGGGAGGAGGTTCTTCTGTCCAAGCCGGGGACGCTGAACACTGTCCGTGGTCTGCAGCGTTGGCTCCTTTAGTGTAGCATAACCAGGCTTGAAACCTGCTGAAGTGGCTGTGTTTGCTTCTGAGTCTGCCTTGGGGAGAGGCTTTTCTGGCAGCACAAATCTAGAGTGTCTGTATGTCCTCCTCCTCATTTGCACGGTTCTTGCACTTGGTTTCTTTGTGATTAACTACATCCTCACCAGAAAAGCTGCATGGGTCTGCTTTTACGGATTCTTCAGACACGCCATAATGAAGTTCTCGTTTCTCTGGCTGCCTGCCTCGGGCTCTGGATGAATACTCTGCTTAGCACATTGCACAGTGGCTGGACCTGGAGAGTTTCCTTGTCTCTGTCATCATTAACCCTGAAAGACATCAGCAAAAGGAAGCACAGTGCTGAACTCGCTTGGCTGATGCAGGGCAGCTAAATGGCTCTCAGCGTAGAGCTTGTCCCTTGCTTTTCAAGTATTTCAGCTTCCTCACTTGACCCCTTTCTTTCTAGTTTGTACCTTCTCGTGAGTTAATACAGAAAAAATAGGGTTGCCTTCGACTCGCTAAATGCAAAAGTACTACATACTTAGTTGTATTCTGT